ATGCCGGCACCCGGGGGGATGCCAGCACCGGGCGGGGGGATGGTGATGCCAGCACCCAGGGGGGGATGCCACCCAGGGGGGGGGTGGGGGGGGCTTGTTTGGACCCTTCTCCTGGGCTCTTTGGGGCTCTCTTGGGCACCGCAGGGGCTGCGGATGGCTCCGATTCGGGGGCCCAGTGTGCGGTCCAGATCGGTTAGCCCGCTCCGGTTCAGTCTGGAGAACGGAGCGGTCCTGCAGAGACCACCAAGCTCGTCGTCGTCGTCGGGTCCTGAGGGTCCTGAGGGTGAGCCAGGCTGCCAGGCACGCGTCTGGTCTGGTTCGGCCGCTTCGGTTCGTCGGGCCGGTTCGGTCCAGCTGGGCCTGTTCGTCGGGCCAGTTCGGTCCGGATCGGCCTGTTCGGGTCGAGGGTCGGTCTGGTTCGGCCTGTTCGGCTCGAGGACTGGTTCTCGGTCTTCGGTCCGGTTCGCGGCCTTCATGTTATTATGTTCTTATACAACTCCTTACTGCCTCCTTCACTCTCCCTGCATCCCTCTTCCTCCTGCTCCTCCTGCTCCTCCTCCTCCTCCTCCTCCTCCTCCTCCTCCTCTTCATCGCCATCGTCCTCCTACTCCTCGTCCTCCTCCTTCTCCTCCTCCTCCTCCTCCTCGTCCTCCTCCTCCTCCTCCTCCTCCTCCTCCTCCTCCTCATCCCTCCTCATCCCTGCCTCCTCGTCCTCCCTGCTCTTCCTCCTCCCCCTCCTCCCCCTTCTCCTCCTCCTCCTCCTCTCATCCTCCTCCCTCCCTCCCCCTCCCTCCCTCTCCTCTCCCCCCGCCTCCCTTTCTCCCCTCCCTGCCTCCCTCTTTTTCCACCTCCTGCTCCCTCCTCCTCCTCCTCCTCCTCCCTCCTCCTCCTCCTCCTCCTCCTCCTCCTCCTCTCCTCCCCCCCCTCCTCCTCCTTCCTCCCTCCTCCTCCTCCTCCTTCTCCTCCTCCTCCTCCTCCTCCTCCTCCTCCTCCCTCCTCCTCCCATCCTCCTCCTCCTCCTCCCCTCCTCCTCCCTCCTCCTCCTCCTCCTCCTCCTCCTCCTCCTCCTCCTCCTCCTCCTCCTCCTCCTCCTCCTCCTCCTCCCTCCTCCTCCTCCTCCTCCTCCTCCTCCGTGTCCTTGCCGCCCTTCCGCCCCTCTGGAGGTGGGGCTCCTGTACCTCAGCGCGGAGCAGCGGCAGGCGTTCCGCTCGGCGCCGGGCTCCCGGCACCGGGAGGCTTTCGGGGGGCCGCTCGGGGGGGTTCCGTGCCACGGTCATGGGCAGCGTTGGGCCGTTTTGGTGCGCGAGCTCGCTGTCGATGGATGTTCGGGGGAGCGTAAGACCCGGGTTTGCCAGGACTCGGGTTCGCCATCGTTTTTTGAGGACCGCTCCTTGGATTTTGACGAGGAGGAGTTTCGTGGGATGTCTGCAGCGGGAGGCCTCGTCAAAATGCAGGCTCGGCCTCGTCATTTTTTTGACGACCTCGTCGGGGATTTCCGAGTCCCCTGTACCCGGGTCTTACGCCCCCCCGAAATGTGGTTCCAGCCCCCATTACAGTGAGCGGCTTGAATAAGGAACACTTGGTTTTCAAAAGGGGCTCGGTCGCTCCTCAGGCTTGCGTGCGTTATGTTTCGTTCCTGATGTGCTATGTATTGCTTACCGTTCCTGATGCGTTACTTTTCCCTTGGGTAAAAAGGGGCTTCGTTTCTTATCTATCGTTCCTTAGGTCAGGTCGATGACTGTAGGGGAAGCAGATCTGAAGCTGAATGCTCCTGGACGGGCATCATGCGCGTGTGCTCCGCGGTCGTGCACATGCAGTCGACTAGACGTAAGAGTGACCTTTCGCCGGAGTGACCTTTGGTGCGGGCGAAATGGGGCCCCCGATCGCTGAGCGCGAAGCGTTATCAGCGGCTTGCGCGTCCAGGTTTGGCCACCCCGCGTCCCCCGTGAAGCCGCGCACCAAAGGTCACTCTTGCCCAGGGTCACTCTTGCGTTTATCCGATGCAAGGAACGAGACCATGGGCAACGTGTGGGGTGCATCGTCGAGGAAGGCTAAGCTCCTCCTTCTCCTCCTCCTCCTCCTCCTCCTCCTCCTCCTTCTCCTCGAAGGAGGAGGAGGAGGAGGAGGAGGAGGAGGAGGAGGAGGAGCGATCGAGGAAGGAAGCTCGCCGTGAGCATAAGCTTTCGGAGCTCCGCGAAGATGTCTCGGATCGGCGCGGGGCCCCATGGCGCGCGCCACGGGCTGGGGCCGGCGCCGATCACCAGACGTCCACGCGGACATCTGAAGCCTGGCGCTTGTGCAGCTGGCTGCTCCTCCAGCGAGGGTGGGGGTCGGGGGAGGGCTAAGGTTAAGTCGGGCCTGTCCCCCTACAGGGGGATTTTCGACGAAAAATAAAAAATACCCCCGAAATAGTCCAAAAATAGTATGGGGACTATTCTTTGAGTATTTGTTTGCCTTCTTGGGGTATGTTTGGGGTGTTTTTAATTTTTCGTCGAAAATCCCCCTGTAGGGGGACACGCCCGACATAAAGCTTGGCGCTCGTGCAGCTGGCTGCTCCTCCAGCGAGGGCGGGGGCAGGGGAGGGCGAAGGTCGGCGCTTGTGCAGCTGGCTGCTCCTCCAGCGAGGGTGGGGGGCGGGGGAGGGCTAAGGTCGGTGCTTGGCTTGTGCAGCTGGCTGCTCCTCCCGCGAGGGCGGGGGCAGGGGAGGGCGAAGGTCGGTGCTTGTGCAGCTGGCTGCTCCTCCCGTGAGGGTGGGGGGCGGGGGAGGGCGAAGGTCGGCGCTTGTGCAGCTGGCTGCTCCTCCAGCGAGGGTGTGTGGGGAGGGGGGGAGGAGATCCCGGGCATGCGACGTCTTCGTCCCCTCCACGCGCGGCCCCCGGAAGTCCCGACCCCTCCCCAGGACCGCACCTCATCCCCACCCTGGCCAATGCCGCGTCGGTGGACAGGAGGAGGAGGAGGAGGAGGAGGAGGAGGAGGAGGAGGAGGAGGAGGAGGAGGAGGAGGAGGAGGAGGAGGAGGAGGACGACGAGGACGACGAGGACGACGAGGACGACGAGGCGGAGGACGAGACGGCGCCGGCTCGGGGAGGCGAGCAGGAGCAGTCCTCTATCATCCGCGCCCCGGCGTCGCGCATCGGTTCCTCGAGGATGGTGTCTCCCATCGTCAGATGACAGAAGACGGAGCGCAGGCATGTCTGCGCCCGTTCACGGTTGAGGACATGAACGAGGCGATGCGCCTGCACGAGGAGAGCCAGAGGCTCGGTTATGCCGGCCGGAGGGTGCCAGCTCCCGGAGCAATGCCTCGCGGCGAGCGGCCTGACCGCAGATATCTGACCTTTTCCGCTCCTTCTGGGAAGGGAACAGGTCGGATGAATCGTGTCACGTTGAAAGGTCTTCGGGCGCAGGCACCCAAAGGCGCTGGCAAGAGTAAGAATTGCGACTTTGATGTCGCCCCCGAGGAGCCTGTCCGCCTCGCCCCTGCTCCTTCACCCCCGCGCCGCGATGGCCCCGCGCCTGCCTATGCCCCTGGCGGCGCTGGCTGGGGTGACGCCGCGGACTGGACTGGCGGAGCCGCCTATTCCTCAACGCCGCGCCGTCCCGTAACACCACCGAGGCGCGACCTCGACTATGATGGCGTTCGTGGCCGTAGCAGGAGTGCCGTGCGCGAGTGCCGCAACGCCCACGCCTGGTGGCGTCGCGGACTACAGCACTACCGGCACGACACGTACCGACACTGGTCGCACCACCTGTCCCAATGGATCTACATCGACAGCGAGGACAACGAGTGCATATGGTCATGGGACAACTACCAGACGATCACCATCAGCTGTTTCAACAATCGTGGCAATCGTATTTGGGACGAGCGCTACTATGATAACTGGGCGTGAGTATTGATTCACAGATTTTACTTCGCATCTTGGTACAGATCCTGTGAGATCGATTCTAGGTATTGATCTGACATCATTAGTACCTTATCGATGACATTTTGGGAGATACCATGAAGCATCGCATTCTTTTGTTTGAGCGCATGCGATATTACATGGTATATCGTCATCGAGAGTTATGTGACACAATCTGGCAATCGGACAAACGCACCCAGGCAGGTCGCCCGCCAGTAATATTATGCGTTCAAATATGATTACCACTTTTTGTATCAGGACACGGCGTCTGAGTACGACCGATGCATAGCATTCTTCATGATCAGATTCGTTCACTTTTCAATTTTACGGCATGGAGTGCCTCGCATCGTGCGTGACAACATCTCAGAGATCACTTGCCATCACAACTGTCCGTACATATTGCCAACCATGGGCCTGGAGAGCCCTAAAATCTTTTGGGCCTGGAGTGCCTCGTGAATGGGAGATAGTGCTACTTTGATCGAGTTGTCGTTACAATTCGATCCGTCACACTTTACGCGTGCGCCGCGTCGGTGGCCACACTTTCATCGAAGGGTTCTGGTGCCACCTCTTCCTTTTCTCTCTTTCCCTTGCTGTCCTAGCCCTGTCACCTGCGGTGGCGGAGCATTGTCCTGGGGTGCTGAAGCGTCTTTGGGGGGCGCACCTAGGGCCCGTTAAGTCGGGTATATACTCCTAAATACCCCGTGTGGCGGGGTTAGTTATCTTCCCCACCTTCCTAGCCGTTACTCCCTCGTTTAGAGGGGCGGTAAATTTAACGGGGCTGCGAGTGGACCTCACACTCCTGATCCTGATCCCTGCCGTTGTCTCCCGCGGGCCCGAGGCCATCGGGAGCTGGCAGTCTTCGGGACGGCGTGTGTGTGTGTGTGTGTGTGTGCGTATAAAGTCCGCTCACTTCCCTATTACATCCCCTCCGCAACTGCATTGTCTCAGGTATTGGCAAGCTGTACTTGGTGCGCTGCTCGCTGCGCAGTGCCTAGGAAAACAAGCCTCTACCAACGGAGCCCATACTGGAACGGCTCCTCGGCCGTCTCCCTGTATCCACATGTTCCACATGTGAGCCCGGCCATGTGCGCGCCTAGCTTCCTAACAGGCAATGACGCCAACGCATGCCGCGGCGACGGCGGAGACGACGACGGCGAGGCCGAAGCCAACCGCGCAGCCGACGGCCACGGCGCAGCCGACGTCGACGGCGCCCGTCGGCCCCCCTCGCAGAAGCCCTGGCGGGAGGCCCTGGCAGCGGGGCGCCCCACGAGCGCCGAGCGCCTGGAGCTGCTGCTCGGCCTGGCCGGCATCGGCATCCGGGCGCCCTACGAGGAGCGGCGGAAGCCCAGCGCTCGCTGTTATGCATTGTTCCCCAATCAGCGCTTGCACTGAAGGGGTCCTAGCGGAAGTTGGAAGATTTTGCGAACATTTCCCGCCGATTTTGGTGGCAGGCTGGGTTCCTGGGTTCCCAGTTCCGGGGTCCCGGGTTTCCGGTTATTGGTTCCGGGCCGATTACGGTGGGTTTGGGGTTCTTGGGTTCCCGGGTTCCTGGTCGAGCTCCTCAGCGAAAACCATCCATTGATTGGGTTTTTCTCTAGTGTAATCTGAATCATGTTTGTTGTTGGGTTTCTTGCGTTAGTTTTTTCTTTTTGAAAGGGGGGGGAGGGCCAGCGCTTGTCTTTCGTGTCCCCGGCAGTCCCATAGGGCTGGTTCCATTCGAGTTTGCCCCCCTTTCCCCTTTGCTCGACGTCCTCACTTGTGGGCGACCCCCCAGCTTTCCCTCCCAAGTGCGCCCTCCCGTGGATGAGGGACAACATTTGGAAGATTCGGACGGAGGAGGACGAGGAGGATGATGAGGAGGAGGGGTGGGAATAGAGAGAGTGAGAGAGAGAAATGGTAGAGGAGAGTGAGCGAGTAGAAGAAGGAGATATGAGAGCGGGTAGAAGAGAAGGAGGAGAAGGATGAGGACGAGGAGGAGGACGAGGATGAAGGAGACCCTTGACAATCGACTCCCGCTGCTCAGGTTTTTTTGGTCAAGACCAATCTTTCCTTGGTGGCGGGGAGACGCGAGGATCCGGTCATATATATATATATATATACATATGTATACACATACATATATATACATATGTATACATTTACCTACATGCATATCTCAATACATTCATACGGCGATATGTGTATGTGGATATGTATATATATATATATATATATATATATATATATATATATACGTGTCCAAACTCTTCCAGTTAGCTGGGGGGCGCCCGTGAGGGACGATTGGCCTGGGGCGTCAAGATTGCTACAGAAAGGACGAGGAATAGGAGGAGGAGGAGGAGGAGGAGGAGGAGGAGGAAGAAGAGGAGGACAGGAGGAGGGGCAGGAGGAGCAGGAGGACCAGTGCAAACACAAGATGCATCAACGATGTTGCAAAACACCCTCCCTCCAAACTCCCCTTTAATCGGCTCTTAAAACAATTCATGCTCATTGCGGGCAGGGCCCCATTGGACAAAGTACCGTGTGGAAAAAATCCAGTCATGCCATAAAGCAATGTTTGGGAGTTCATTGCCGCAAATCAACGTGACGGTTGCGTCCTGACGCTCCTACATCGTGCCAGATTGCCGTTGTTGGGGATTTCAACCGTACGACAAGTTGAAACCATTGCACGCTTTTCAAAACATGTCCGCGGCGCTACGGCGAGAGCCACAATTTGATAATTAACCGTCCTCCATCCGTGAGACTGCCGCAAGCTTTTCAAACGCATGTGCGCGGCGCTACGGCGAGAACCACATGTTCAAAACCACCTGCCCTCCATCCGTGAAAAGTGCTGCAAACTTTGAAGGCGAGTGTCACAATCACCAGATTTCGAAAACCACCCGCCCTTCATCCGTGAAGCCGTTGCAACAATTCTCAAGCTTCAGGATCGCAAGTGGTGAGGAAGAGTCTGGCGAGACGCCCAGCCCGCCGTACCGACACGCCTGGGGAGCGACAGGGAGGAGGTATTCAGAAGGGAAATCGACGGAGGAGGAGGAGGAGGAGGAGGAGGAGGAGGAGGAGGAGGAGGTTTGAGGTTGAGGTTGAGGTGGAGGAGAGGAGGGAGGAGGAGGAGGAGGAGGAGGAGGGGGAGGGGAGGGGAGGAGGAGGAGGAGGAGGAGGAGGGAGGAGGGAGGAGGAGGAGGGAGGAGGGGAGGAGGAGGAGGAGGAGGAGGAGGAGGAGGTGGAGAGAAGGGGAAAGGCAGCGCAGCTCCCCCCCCCCAGGGACGGCTGCGCTGCCTCCGACCCCGACGCCAGCATCGACCCTGAAGCCAACAGCAACAGCAACAGCAGCAGCAACAGGGGTCTCCTGCCGAGCGCGCTCGGCGCCCGCGCCCGCTCGGCCGCCGAGCGGGCCACCGAGCCCCTGGCTCGGCTGCCGCGCGGGGCCGTGGCAGCCGACCCCGCGCGGCCGCCGGAGCGGGCTCAGCGCCCGAGCCCGCTCGGACGGCCTGGCGGGACCAGGCCGGGCCTGGGCCAGGCTCGAGGCCGAAGCGGAGTCGAGCCAGGGTCGAAGTCGGAGTCGAAGCGACGCGCCCGGAAGGCCCCGCGCACGTCCCCCCGAACACGAGCAGCTGTTCCACGCCGTCGTGCGTACCCGGCTCTCGGGAGGGAGAGAGAAGAGTACACGACCGACCCGCTGCCGCGGGGAGTCTGTCGGCGTGCTGCTCCCCCGTGTTGTCCCGGATACCTGGTCTCTCTCCCTGCAGTAACACTCGGGGGTCCCAAACGGGGTGGTGACCACACCGTGTGGTGAGTCGGTGGGGATTCGGGGTCACCGCACGGTTTTGGGACCCGGGTCGTTCTCCGAGGACGTCTCGGGCGACTGGGGCATCCGAGGTCCCAAGACCCTGCGCTGACGGACCGTGCGGTGAGGTCTTAGGGGGAGTTTGAGGTCACCGCCCGGTCTGCCACCGCGCCGCTTCGGGACTCCAAAGTGACATGCTGCTGGGCCCCCCACGGCGGCGTGCCCATGAATGGCATGCGAGCGCGGCAATCTCGCATTCTGCGCGCGCGAGGGTGCGGCTTCATTGAGGAGGAGGTGGAGGAGAATGAGGAGTGAGGAGGAGAAGAAGGTGGAGGAGGCCGAGGAAGAGGAGGAGGAGGAGGCGGAGGAGGAGGAGGAGGAGGAGGAGGAGGAGGAGGAGGAGGAGGAGGAGGAGGAGGAAGACGTGGTCCTCTGGGCGCCCGCGGGCGTGCCCGGCGGCCTTGGCGTCCTCGGCTCCTCCGCCCGCCTCTTGCCATGCCCGGTGCCCGGCGCGGCCCAGGGGCTCTGCAGACGCGCTTGCGAACGCCAGCGCCAGGAGGAGGAGGGCGAGGAGGAGGGGGAGGAGGAGGAGGAGGAGGAGGAGGAGGAGGGGAGGAGGAGGAGGAGGAGGAGGGAGGAGGAGGGGGAGGGGAAGGAGGAGTGACGGGAGGATGGAGGAGGAGGAGGAGGAGGAGGAGGAGGAGGAGGAGGAGGAGGAGGAGGAGGAGGCGGAGGAGGCGGGAGGAGGCGGAGGAGTGAGGAGGAGGAGGAAGACGTGGCCCCCCTGGGCCGCTCGGCGGGCCGTTGCCCGGCGGCCTTGTCGGCCTCGGCTCCTCCGCCGCTCTCGACGCCCGGGCCGGCGCGGCCCGGGGGCTCTGCAGACGCGCCTGCGAACGCCCGGAACGCCAGCGCCAGGCGGAAGAGGAGGTGGAGGAGGAGGAGAGAGAAGGAGAGGAGGAGGGAGGAGGAGGGTAGGAGGGGGGGAGGAGGAGGAGATGGAGGCAGAGGAGGAGGAGGAGGAGGGGGAGGAGGAGGAGGAGGAGGAGGAGGAGGAGGAGGAGGAGGAGGAGGAGGAGGAGGAGGAGAGGAGGGGAGGAGGAGGAGGAGGAGGAGGGAGGAGGAGGAGGAGGAGGAGGAGGAGGAGAGGAGGAGGAGGAGGAGGAGGAGCACCGAGAAGGAGAAGGAGAAGGAGGAGGAGGAGGAGGAGGGGAGGGAGGAGGAGGAGGAGGAGGAGGAGAGGAGGGGGAGGAGGGGGAGGAGGGGAGGAGGAGGAGGAGGAGGAGGAGGAGGGGAGGAGGAGGAGGAGGAGGAGGAGGAGGAGGAGGAGGAGGAGGAGGAGGAGGAGTAGGAGGGGGAGGAGGAGGAGGACGAGGGGGAGGAGGAGGACGAGGATGAGGAGGAGGAGGAGGAGGAGGAGGAGGAGGAGGAGGAGGAGGAGGAGGACCAACGGTGGGTTGGTGCAGCCACCCTGGCTCTGCGACTTTGCCCTCGCAGGTCCCTCGCCATTCTGCCACGCCGACGTCGAGATCATGAGCCTGACCTCTGGCGCCGCTTGGAGGTCTACCTGTCTGGGAGCTGCCTGGCCGTTCCGCGGCCGCTTCCTCCTTTCGCCGCAATGGGCTACGGACGCTTCCCGCCGTTAGCCCGACCGCTTGTTGGACCCAACTCACCGTAGACCAAGAAGTGCCAGTGCAGTCCCCGGTCGTCTTCGCTAATCAGCGTGTGTCTCGCCGCACACATTGGGTTGTCTCTTGAGGTCGATCCGTTACTCCGCTGGGGTCCACTCCGACGTCGGTGCCTTGCGCACGTGGAGTGCGCCTGGCAGCTTCTACTGAAAGGCTTTTTGCCAAAGGGTGTTCTGTTACGGTCGGACCGAGGTATAATATGGAGGTCGGTTCGGGGAGGGTATCCTAATTTCCTTAGTGCTTGTTGGATGTTATTGTGCATCCTGGGGGAGGGTGCCCTCGAATGTTCTCTTCAGTTTGGGCCAGCGGAGGGTCTCATGTTCTTGGAGGATGTTATCCTGTCCTAGGTCCGACCGAACTCCGCTGGGACCCACTCCGAAGTCGATGCCGTGCGCACGTGGAGGGCGCCTGGCCGCTGCTACTAAAATGCGTTCTGCAGAAGGGTGTTCTGTTACGGTCGGACCGAGGTCTGAGGTGGAGGTCGGTTCGGGGAGGGTGCCCTCGTGTTCTTCGTGCCCATTGGATGGTTCTGTGCATCCTGTGGAGGGTACCCTTGGAGGTTCTGTGTGTTTTGGCCGGCGGAGGGCCTCATGTCCTCGAAGGATGCTCTTCTGTCCCAGGTCCGGCCGTACAGTCAACCATGATAGTGAGGATGGGGCAGCTTTCCAAGGCTACCCTTGCATCCCTGCCCCTTCGGGATCCGGCATCCTTCGGCGTCCTGCTGCACTCCGCGTGGGAAGCGTCAACATGGCGTTCCGAGGCCCTCGCAGCCTCACCGCGCATCCTTGCTATCCTGGTCGAGTGTACTCCAGATTTCGTAATAAAGGGAGGGGGGTCTCATTTCGGGGGGGGGTCTCTTCCAGGCTATCTTGGAGGTCCTGGGGGGTCTGGGGACGATGTTTTGGAGGGTTCTCCCACGGGGGAGGTCTGAAATGGCTTGTCTTGGAGGGTCCAGACCCCCTCCCTTTTATTACGAAATCTGGAGTACTCTTCCATCCGACGCCGAGCGGGCTCGGAAGGGCTCCCCCCCCCCCCCGGGGGTGGCTGCGGGGCGACGGCGGAAGGCGGGCGGGGAGCGCCGCCGCCCTTCGAGGGGCGGGGCCTCGCAACGTCGCGCCTGGAACCCCAAAGGCCCTTCTCGCGGCATTGTCCTGACATTTTCTTCTGGGTTGGGGGGCAAAGGGTGAGATCTGAGGTGACGTTTCGATTGGTCCTCGAGGCCTGATATATCTGCAGGAGGTGGCTCACAGGGCGGGGTGATCGTCGAGGTGCGAGAGCCCACGTGGGTTTTTTAACCCTGGGCCCTCCACCCCGAGAGCATGCTCGGACTTTGCGAGCAGCATGGGCCTGGGATGGCCCGGGGCCCGAGGCCCGGCGAAAAACGTCCGGTGTGCAGAGAAGAGGCGGCGCCCGGAGCTCAGGGACTCTCTCTCTCTCGGCTTCCCCCTCCGGGCGCCCGCCGCTCCGACTGTGCCTCGATCCGCGGCCCGACCGTCCGATTTTTCCTGGATCCGATGATTCCTCGATCCGATTTGTCCTCGATCCGATTTTTTCTCGATCCGATTTTTCCTCGATCCGATGTTTCCCAGATTTTCCCCTCGATCCGATTTTTCCTCGATCCGATTGCTCCTTTTTCCTCGATCCGATTTTCCCTCGATCCGATTTGTCCTCGGTCCGCCAGTTGTCGTCGCGGGTCGCCTTCTGCTGGCCCGGGGGCCCAGCGAGGGCCCCCCGCGGGCAACAGAGCTGCCGAAGGCGGCGCCCCGTCGTGGTGTCCCACGCCGCCAGCATGCCCGGGGATGGTGGACGGCGAGGCCGAAGGAGAAGAGAAACGGTGGGGCTGAGCTCGGCGGCGAGCGGGGGGGGGGGAAGCGAGAAGGAGAAGGCCCCCTCAGAGGGCGGCGGGGCCTCTCAGCAGCCCTCTGGCCTTCTGAGAGGCTTTCTGCGTCTTGGGGGACGGCTTGGAAAGCTTCTCAGCAGGCTGGGGGACTTCCGAGCTCTCTGGGAGGGCCTTCTCCTTCTCACTCTCGCGCTGGGCTCGCCGCCGCGAAATGGACCAAACGTCGGTGGGACCGAGCCACCTTCGCCTCGGGGCTGAGGATCACCAGCCTCGAACTTATCCCTATCCCTAAGATTGACACGCCAAAAGGCGATGACAATCTTAGGGATGCTCCCTGAAAAACCAAGGGGATCCCTAAGATTGGCATTGTGATGAGGCGCTGAGGAGACGGGGGTCCATGCAGACGGGGTCAGTCCGAGCGCCCGACCTTGCGGGATCCTGCAGAGCCGGAGGGGGCATGCGCCCGGGCCTGCGTGCAGGACCTTGCTCAGCACGAGCGAAATGGGTACGGAAAGAATGGGCACGATGCCCCAAAGCAGTTCCTGTTCATTTTGAACAGGACTCGCTGTCCGCGCCGCCGCGGCCTGTGTCCATTTGAGACAGAAGGCCGCCTGCCCAACAGCGGCCGCTGTTGGTTTGGGGCAACATTTGTTGTTGGGCATTGTGCCCTTTTTTTCCGTACCCATTTCGGGCGTCCAAACTCGCAGGATCTTGCGAAGCCCCACCGATCCGCGTCTGCACTGACCCCGGGTCAGCACCTCCCCAGCCGCCTCCCGCGCCGCCGCGGCCGCGCCGCCGGCCCACGACTCTTGCGGCGGCGCGGCCCCCCGCCAAGGAGAGCGCGTTCGAGGTGCAACGCCTTGCCGTGCAGCAGCCGCGGCCTCGGCGCGCCGTCTGCCGCCGCCTCCGCCCAGCCTTCTCCTCCTCCTCCTCCTCCTCCTCCCTCCTCCTCCTCCTCCTCCTCCTCCTCCTCCTCCTCCTCCTCCTCCTCCTGGTCCTCCTCAGCCCCCGATGGGGGCGGCGCTCGCCGCGGCCTGCGGCCTTCGCCCGCCACCTCGGGGTCCGTCTCGACCTGATCGATCCGACTCGGGTACCGAGTCTGGCCCTTACGGTCAGCCCGCATAGCAAGGATGGGCGGCCTTCCCAAGGGTACCCTTGCATCCTTGCCTCCTGGGTCCATCCTTGGCCACTTTCGTTGGCCGCGCCCCGCCCGACAGAACTTCGAGATGGGCTTCCGAGGCCCTTGCATTCTCATCGAGCGTCAATACCACACGGGTTGACTGTAGCTGCCCTGCTACGCCCGTGTTGAAACGCAAGGCGTGCCGCGTTCAGAAGACGTCGTGCGTTGGTTCGGCACGTGTTGGGCCAGGTGTTGTCGAACGCATCGCGCCAAGCGTAGGTTTTCAATCCACGTGTTGAGCTCCGTGTCAATGCGCTACGTGTTGCGTGTTGCGTGTTGCGTATCGGGGCAGCTACATGATGCTGGCCGTTTCGATCCGATGATTCCGATTTTTCCCAGCGATCTGATGCGGCCCGATGCTTGCATGGTGTGCTTGCGCAACCTAGCACGGCCGATGCGATTCGACTCCGGCTTCGTGCCGATGCAGCCCGACTCCACGCACGTTCCGATCCGATGTGACTTCCCGATTCGATGCGGACCGCTCTCGCCACCTCCTCCATCCCCTTCTCCTTATCCCCTCCTCCTGTCACCTCCTCCATCCCACCTGTCACCTCCTCCATCCCCTCCTCCTCCATCCCCTCCTCCATCCCCATCACCTCCATCCTGCCACCTCCCTTCTCCCCCCCTTCTCCATCCCCTCCCCCTCCTCCTTCCCCTTCCTCCATCCCCTTCTCCATCTCCTCCTCCGTCCCCTCCTCCATCCCCATCACCTCCTGCCACCTCCCCCTATCCCCTTCTCCTTATGGATAACTCCTCCCCGTCGCGCCCCAGGACGTGTCGGGGCGGGGCGGGGCCAGGCGCTGCGCCCGAGGCTCTCCCCTCGCCATCTGCGGTCCTCGGGCTGGAGTGCTCCTCCTCCTCCTCCTCCTTCCTTCCTCCTCCTCCTCCTCCTCCTCCTCCTCTCTCCTTCCTCCTCCTCCTCCTCCTCCTTCTCCTGGCGGAGGAGGGGGGAGGAGGGCGGGCGGTTTCCCAGGTGTGGCTCCCACTGGCGCCGCGCGCACTCGTCTGACGAGTGGGCGCTCGTCTCTCGACGGGGGGCGGGCCGTTTTCAGGATGTGGTGCTTGCTTGAGCGCCGCGCACGTTCGTTTTGAAAAGTTTGCTGCCGCTTCGCGGGCTGGGGGCGGGTGGTTTTCGAACTGTGGCTCTCGCCGTAGCGCCGCGCACATCCGTTTAAAGCAATAGCAGCATTTCCGCGGGCAGGAGGCGGGTGGTTTTCACACTGTGGCTGTCGCTTTAGCGCAGCGCATATTCGTTGTTAGAAAGTGTAGTATTTTCGCGCATGGAAGGCGCGCCGTTTTCAACATGCGGTTATCGCCTCAGCGCCGGGCACAGTTGCTTGACAAGTGTGCAACCGCTTCACGGATGGAAGGCGGTTTCTTTTCAAACTGTGGTTTTCGCCTTAGCGCTGTACATATTCGCCTTGCACATCTGCAGCTGTTTAAAGGGTTCGTGTGGTCGAAGTCCCAGGAGTTGTGTGCTTGCACGATCTAGTAATGTCAGGACGAGCCAGTAACTTTGTTTCGCGGTGTTGAAGTCCCAGCAACGGTGTTCTAGCACGAATCAGGATTGTTAGGGCGCAGCCGCCATGTTGATCTGCGGTGTTGAAGTCCCGGGTACGGTGCTCTGGCACTGTTCCGAATTCTGGGACGGTTGTCTCCTGGACCACTTCTCGAAATGACAATGCATTCTTGCAGGGGCCTGTGAAGAGGGAACTTGAAGGGAGTGCTCATTGTACCATCGTTGATGCGCCTTGGGGTTACACTGGCCCTCCTCCTCCTCTTCCTCCTCCTCCTCCTCCTCCTCCTCCTCCTCCTCCACCCTCGGGGGGGTCTCTTTTGCGCCCGCTCGGCGTCTGAGCCCGCTCGGCCGCGCGGGCGGGCTCGGGAGCAGAGCCCGGCCAGCGGCCGCGTGCCGGCTCCGCTGCAGCGGCCCCGCTCGGCGGCCGAGCCAGGCTCGACGACCCGCTGGGCGGCCGAAGACTCGGCCCCCTCTGCCATCGCCCCGCCCGCCCGTCGAGGAGCGGCGCTCGCCGTCGCCTTCGTCGTCGCCGTCGTCGTCGACGTCGTCGGCGTCGGCGTCGTCGTCGGCGTAGTCGTCGTCGTCGTCGTCGTCGTCGTCGTCGTCGTCGTCGTCGTCGTCGTCGTCGTCGTCGTCGTCGTCGTCGTCGTCGTCGTCGTCGTCGTCGTCGTCGTCGTCGGCGCCGTCATTCCCATGACGGAAAGTGCTTTCATCTGTTTTGGGCCTTCGGGGGCCCTAGGCCTGGCTCCAGGACGGTCAGGAAGTTATTCGGGATGAAGTTGCCCCCTTGGGAAGGGGTCGGGACTCCTGGGGGCCAAGTATTGGAAAATCAGGACGCCGGATCTCTGGCCCCCTTTTCCTCGTAGACAACTCCTCCCTGTCGCACCCCCAGTCATACCGGCAGGGCGGGCTGGGCGCCTTCACCATTTATTATGATCACGCTGCCTCAGGTTTGCAATTCAGGCTCACGGATGAAGGGGCTGGTTTTCAACATGGGGCTCTCGCCCTAGTGCCGCGCACATTCGTTGGCCTGTTAAATGTGCGGCGGCTGCAAGGATGGAGGAGGCGGGTCGTTTCTAAAATTGAGCTCTCGTCTT